AGGAGCAACACTCAATGCCACATCAGTAAAGTTGCAAAATTGGACACGTGTAGGTGGCATCAACTTGTCACATACACGAACAGGTGCGGCCACTTGCGGGTCAGGGTGCAATGCAGCTACTTCTGGCAACTGCAACACATGGCGCAAGTTCGTGGCACGAACTACCTCATGCACATGTACAACCTTAATATGGTCATAATATACATATATATATATATATATATATATATATATATATATAAACGGACAGTTTGAAGACACCCTTCGCTCATCGCAGACGACACAAAACCAATTCCACTGCGGGAAGGAACGACAGACCCAAAGGCATACTCACACGGCAACTTCCCCGTATCTTTCCTCGATTGTAGCTAATCGTGTTCATCTTCGAATTCATTCCAGATACCGGGCCCTATGTACAGCAAGCGGACCGCGACCAACCACCAATCAGATTGAGCAGCGGCTGCTGGCTGCCAGATTTGGTCTCAGGCATTCCAACTTAAATGCGCATCCATGGAAAGGAATGTCACTAAGACCAATGCCGCATGACTGACTCATATCATATTCATTTCAAAAGAGAACATGCCATATCTGCAAACACCCGTCATAACTCATGAACCTTTAACATTGCGTAGAGTTAAAGGCGCGTTTCCATCGTCCACTACGTAGCCACAAATCTATATACGAACACAGAAGACGGACAGAAACAGAGGTACACACAAGTAGTAGACTGAGACACAAACCGACAGGTGAAGACAGGTCTCGTTGGTGATATAACAATTTGCAATTTCTCAACATCTCTGTGGGCCGTACAAAGCAATGGGAATGCAATTTCTCATCCATACACATACCACCCACCGATATCAACCCTGAGACCTTCAACCATTTTAGCGACGCAATTTCACAACATCCACGACCTATCTCCACTTTTGAAACTATGCGGCAGTCAATATCACATAGCAAGCAACAAACTGTTTGACTTCCGGAGGCAATCTTCAGCAGAAGTCTGCTAAATCCGATTACGACGCTCTGCTCAAATATTCATTTCAAATCCAACGATACACAACATAACACCTCCACCCTAGAAAATCACACAGCACGAACACTCTGCCCAAGTAATTTACTATGTAACTATACAGGAAGGTCAACCACGCCCCAGGACTTATAAGCTGACCGCCAGCTGAAGACAAGCAAAATAATTGCAAACGCTCAAAGTAAGAAAAAGAAAAACTTCGCCGTAGCACCACACTAACCAAAAGATGGCCCCGTAGTGAGCATACGATCGCCATAGCCACCTGCCAAGTTGGCTCCGGCCCGAGAGATGGTTGTTTATACACAATTAATCGTTCGGCTTTGATTGGACATTCTTTAGTTAGGGTACTTCTGGGGAAATTTTGACATCCCACACGGTACCGCGGCCTCGTCTTTTAAAAAAAAACACGGCTGTTTTTTCTCTCTATCCGTTGAGTGTCACCACCGCCGTGACTACAGGCGAGTGGCGGGTACAATTTCGTAAAAGTCCCGAACTCCCTACCCGTGTCCCAGGAAGTCGGTGTTACCACGATTCAGGGTCTCGTTAGGCACTGCTAAAAGAATCCTAAAATTTTGAGGATGAGTCCTAAAGGTTTTTTAGGATTTCGTGCGGCGTCCTTACACGCAATCCTAAAAATCATCTTTTAGGATTCGTCCTAAAAGGTCTCCCGCGGCCGGTTTTCATATGCGTATACGCAGCCGCATCGCCGATGTCCGTGCATTCCTGGCTGGTGTCCGCGGTACACACTGCGGTGGCCCTTGGGCGGGTGAGGACGGGTCAGTGAAAAGCGTGGTCACCCCGAACTGAGAGGCGGTTAATGGAAGTCCCAAAATTCGGGGAATTTTTGGCCTTCCATTAACTGCTAGTGGTTTCGCGGGCACGCAGTCGCTGCGCCTCGGGTGGCAAGGTGAGCATCCTCTTCGAAGCGGTCTGATCAAAAGAGCGCTGCCAAGCACTCTCCCGTACTGCAGACGCAGTCGCCTCTGCTTGCTCTTCCTCCCTCGTGAAGTCGTCGTCGTAGTCCCCTTCTGCTGCTGCCGCTCAACCTCGAGCTCGATGAGGAGGCACACTTGCTGACGCATCATCGAAACACACCCTCTTTGCCTTTGGGACATGCCGCCGACCTCTTCCCTACCCTTGGCTGTCGTCACGGACGCCGTCGCGCTTCTTACCACGGGCGCTCCCTCCCATAGACATGCTTCGTCGGAACCTTTGCGGGCGAGCTTGGCGGTCCGATCGGATGAGCGGGAAGTGCTTCATTGACCGCCGATTGAAGTCCCACCGATCTGGCGAGAAAAATGTCTCCTGTGCTGCTGTAGCGTGACGAGGACAAATACCCCTACGACGCAGAAGATCTCTCCTCCGCGGGAAGAAGACGATGACGTACACGTGTACGACAGAAGGACGAGGACCCCGGCGAGAGCGCTCCGCGGCGAAAAGATTGACAGCGAGAAGAATAGAAGAGCGACTCTGAGAGTGCTCCGCAGCGAAATGATTGACGGCGGACGTCCACGTGTACGACAGAAGGACGACGACTCCAACGAAGATCCTCCATGTGACGAGATGGCTACAATGGCGTCGGCGGTGGTCCTCCGCGGCACTGAAGATGTCCGCGGGGAGCAGGCGACATTTATCCGCGGCGAGCAGCCTTGTACTACTCCCACGTCGTTGCAGTCGGTGCGCAGCAGGCGCGACGGGCTTCTGTACTGGAGACACCCTAGTGTGGACGACATTCATGCGGGTTGGGATGCGCACGACTGAAGTTAACGTAGCAGATGGACCGCCCACGACGTCGCTTCTCTGTGGCGGGAAACCACATCGTTGACGGTGCCACGTGAGGCCGCCCTGCCTATCCTGGCGTGTCATTATGATCCTCCCCAAGGCGGGAAAAGACCCTTCGACATCCCTGGTGACGCGCGTTAATGCACTCGCCAGGGACCAAAAGTAAGAGAACCCACCTTCACCCCTGGCCACCCCATCGCACCTACCCCTCGCAGCCACCGACCCCCCCCTTTCCACTCCAAACCCTCTCGTCCACAACCCCCAAACCACACACGGCCTTTCAGACGTGGCTCTTTGGTTCTCGAGCTACCAAAACGCAGACGATGCACTTTGGTCGTCGAAAACGATGAGTAAAAAAAAAAG